GACGGGAAGAAGCTAATCGATCGAAGGAGCTCATACGCGTGTAATCGCGGATGGAATCCTTGTCATCTGCCGGCACGGACCCTTTCATTACGAGATTACCCGGCTTATCCTCTCCTCGATATCTGGGTATGTGAATAATAATTTCCCCCTCATTACGGTGTTCCCTCCCCTTCCTTTTCGCACTCTCATCCCCTCGTTACCGCAAAGTCCTGTCACGGGTATCGAGACGCAGTCGGAAAATAAACCGGGATGCGGGAAAAGCAGCTGTTTCCATGCAAACATTGAAGAGGCGATGGCATGGGCGGGAGTGCGAAGTTCATCAATATCAATTTTAGTCGAGGGAGCCGAAAGGATTTCTTTTTGTGGAGGCCATCAATTTTCATCGGCCGAAGGAAGTTACTTTTCGCATCGACATCCTTGATTCGTCTCTCCCGTCTCGAGCCACGTGTTAGGGGCCCTTCCCCTCATCTGTCAATGCGATGGATAATGAGTCGATCTGTGGGGGGGTGGAGGGGGTAGGGGGGGGGGGGGGGGGAGGCGTTGCATGAGGGAGTTGGGACTTCGTGGTGTCGGTTCCTTTGCGCCGTTTTCGGGTATCGACAGCTGACGTAAGGACATCGAGATAGGGGAGAAAGGGGTCCGTAAGGGGTCTGAAAGGGGTCTCATGACCCTAAAAATTCTTCATGCTCTGCCACGGACTTTATTCGGTCTTATCGGGTGGAAAGAAATGGGCCCTCGGACTCGTCACGCAAACGCTTTTGTATTACAGATTGCAATCGCCTTTTTCTCCGAGCCATTGGGTGAATGCATTGGGGTTCTTTCTCTCTCTGTCTCTCTTTCTCGCCCTCAATAACTGGGATGTAAGGGAAAGTCATCTCGGCGATCGTAGCAGGAATTTACGTTTTTATTAGGGGGATTTCTTCATTAATGATCCATATGATGAAGCCGAGGGAGGAAGGGAGGGGGGGGGGGGATTGGTACGAGAGACAATTTTCATGGGAATGGTAGGATGGAAGGGAAATCCGGGAAACAAGATGCCTCCCGTCCATGGACACGAGCGTGGCCATAGAACGAATTGTTTACTGTATCTGAGCGGAACAGGGGCTTCCAGATGACATTTATCCCACACCTTGCACCTGTTCCCACAATATGATGAACACCTCTCCCTCTTGATTGGCAGGTAGACGAGAGGAGGGGGGTGGGGTGAAAGGGTTTGTTCAATATGCTCAGGCATTTTCGTGCAAGGTCGGTGTGGATATTTCATGGTCGAAATCTGCAGATCTGACAAGCATTTCCAATTTTTTTATCGGAGAGAGACCGAGCATCGTTAGAGAGACCGGAATTCTATTTACGGGCAAAAATTGAGCCTCGCTCGGAACCGTCACACCCTTTGGAACCCTCCGGTCGAGCCATCCGAGCCGGCATGCAGACGAGGACCAGGTACGGCTGGAACGCGCGGGCGCTATTTGCAGGGGGAAAAGGGTGAGGGTGGGGGCGAGGCATGGGGATGTCAGTCACATGGTGGGCTCCCTCGACCGAGGATCTCTCTTGTCCTGTGTCCGCTCTCACCTCGTTGCGAACATGACGTGAGGTGAACCAAATGCCGTCTTTCATTCTCCTGCTACTCATCTACTCTTCATGTCTCTTCCATGCAGGTACTTGTTGTTTTATCGTGGCGAACGTGTTTTTTGTCGCGATCTCTTGACTGATTTCCATGCTGAAGTCGGCAGAAACGATGTTGTTTACTCGTCGTGCGTGTTTGCCATTTTCGTGTGCAGAAGTTGGAAGCTGTTTCTTCCAACTTCTACTTTTAAAATGTCGATTACGAATTGATCTGAATCGACCGAAAAGTACTACCTGTCCCGGAAGGTATTGGCGCTAGATCTCTCTCGAGTTTTCCACCAAGTCCAGATCGCATTATGACGACGTTCAGGATGGATAAGCCACTTGGCGTATTTAGTAAATAGAATAACTCTGAGTTAACTTTTCGTTCAAGATAAAAGCAAAGCAGTGTCGACGCCCACAAAAATTGAGGCCGGAAAACTATGCACTTCCAGTCGAATTCCCCCTTGCGATATTTTATTTCCTGGGGGAAAATACATCGAAATCGAATTGTACATATTTGTCTCTTGCAACCAAATAGCATGAAAGACGTCTGACAATCAAAATGCGTTAGGAGCCACTTCAAAGGGGGGAAGGGGTGGGGTTGCATCGTCTGCACGCATTTCAGCCTCCACTTGCCACTTTCCGCATTTCACCCACTTGATTACGTCGAGGAAGGGCAGCCTCACACGCCCTCAGGGCTATCCATTCACTGCTGAAATGTTCCCGCTAGTGCATGAGAGTGCGTCGCCAGTCGCCTTGGTATCTCCGGCCCATGGTCGTTCGTGTCTGTGCGTGGCTTAGGGATCGTGAGGCGATCGCTTGTGCCTTCATCTTCGTGCCCAGTTTAGCAGGTATTCCTTCGTTTTATGCATACTCTCCTCAACGGTGCACTCTCCGTATATACCGGCTATGTCATGTGCTAATGAGGCCCAGACGTGCCGAAAACAAGACGGGAAAACCGGAAGTTGGAATCCGCGTCCAGACGTGAGTGATAGAGACGGACATCGCTCACTTTCCAAAGCCGTCTCTCGGAAAACTTGTACGTCAGTGATGCACGACCTATATTCTATAAAGGGTTAAATTGAGGTTTCGACTCGTTCAAGGACCGCAGATGCTACTGAAGGTCGTCTGCACAATCTGTGACCTGCCGACCGCAGATTGTGCAATACCGATCTATGCTTTGAAAACGTTGAGATTTCCTGGAGATCGTGTAATCCTTGTTAAGGGGTGTTTACACATGCAAGTGCACTCGCATGAAAGTTTCTCCGAATCCTCCGTAGACGATCCTCTCATATACTCGTAATCGTGTTTCCAAGAAATAAAATGTCTCTACCTTCATGGGAATGTACAAAAATGAAACACTCCTTGGGCGTGGCTAGTCCTGCGATGATTCTGGATTCAGACTCCGAAGGAGCCCATGAACCCTCCCAGGTCGCGTGAAAAAATAATCTTCCCCGTGTGGGGAATTTGGTCCCTAGCTTCACTTATTATTCAATAGCACTTCCAGTATTACTGACTCAATTGATCCAGTGAGGAAACTGTGATCTTCAAGTTCAAACTGCACCCATTCGAAGCATGTCACGTATATCTAAAACTACGACGCGGCTGAAATGCATCAGATAATTTTTGAAGCCGAACGACAGAAGCCTATTGAGCGTGCTCCTCTCCGAGTAAGTTCCATTCCTGTTTTTCCACTCTTATCCTCTGGAGGAACGGGGAAGAACCCCGCCTTTGAATGACGGAAGGCTTGTTGGTCCCCTCCGCTGTCTTTTATTACGGATTCATGCGCTGCAAACACCTCATTTTGGCCCGGCCGTGCAGGAAGTAGAGTGAGCTGTCTAATGCGTGAACGTCTACATCGGATGATATCGGGGTCGAGGGATCCCTCCGGGATGGTTGTACACACTTGCCCAATACATCGATCAATGGTCATTAGACGTGTCATTTCCCTGAATTAAGCATGAGGAGCGCTCGTGTTCTTCTATTGACACAAAGGGCTCCCTTTCACGGCAGCCCATTAATGCCAAGCCCCATCATCGCTTTATGATCGACGCCTCGCGCAATTCCGCCTCTTCCACGGTCTATCTCCTTCCTTCACTTTCCGTGAAATTCTAACTTATTTTCCACAACAGGCAAGTTTGATACCCATAAACGTCGAATAAGCCGTTCATTTCGAAGGAATTCATAGCACGCACAATTTATACGCCAGTTGATCCGGTTCAAGGCCGCTCAAGCCCTTAGAAGCATGCACTATCGGAATGGAGCATCTTCTTAAGTTTGTTTCCGATATGCCCTAGTTGATCAATGACATCAATGCTATACGGCATATCACCCAAAGTTATGCAAGAACATATGATTAGAGTCATGAATTCTTTAACGCGGAGGGATTCAAACGAAAGGGCACGAAAGGTTATTTCAGACTCGCAAGGATGCATTCTTGAAAAGGCCAAACATAATTAAGGTAATGCAACCTCAATTTTTAACCGCGGCAGCGATGCAACTCTTCCTTCACTTTCAATTTCCCAGTCGACGTCGAGGAAACGCTCGAGAACCGATCAATTCCCGGGTCAGAAAATCCCCCCTCGATTCCTCGTGTCGCGTTCTCTCTTCCCTGAGCGAAAAATATCCCCGGAATAAAATCGGGAATTTCGGACGAGGATGACTAAATCATGCTCACAACGACAGAAACGTCTAGAGCCCAGAGGATAAACGCGACACGAGGTGGATTGAATGTCACCCTTATGAATATGCCCCAGTGAGGAGAAATTGCGCGGCAGTCTCATGAATATCAAAGAGAGCAAAGCAGAAACCATGAGGGAAATCAGGGCGAGTTAAAAACGTCAATCCCCATTGTGGAAGGCGTGTCGCCTGGCTGGAATGCCCAATGCCTTTCTCCGGGGACCCATGGGGAATTATTATTAATTCCCGGAGACGCCCGTTCATTATCTCTCGGTCTCTTCTTCTCCCGAGATCCACCAACCTCTTGAATGTATTTGCATAGAGCTTGCCTCGCCGACTGCGGGACGAAAGAGATGAGAACGGATGACTTGTCTCGTTAATGAGGCTGTATACGAGGAACCCCTGTAATTATGATCGTGCTTAACCGCGTGCTCGCTCCTGAGATATGATACGTAATGGTAGAGTGCAGCGACCTGGAAGAACACAAAAGAAGAAGCAGTTCGTTCTCGAGGTTCAAAAAAGGGGATTTTTTTTATCAAAAAAATTTTTTTGAGGGAAAAACTTGGTAGAGGAACTTTGAGATCGTCGGATGAAGACGGATATTCCCTCATATTTCTGCGTTGTTATACATAATGAAATCTTCATCGTGTATTATCCAAATAAAACCCTAATGAGTTCTAAAGCGTATCCCACTGGATTTTGCTGCGACGTCATCAATGGGCCAAAACCGAACGATATCTCGCTTCCTCGTGGCAAACGGCGTGAACGGTAAGAACACGTACGGCGTACGGACAGGCATTGACGGATGCGGGACATCCACCTTCTCTCGCATTTAGGATTCCAAATAAAGAAATAAATAATTTAATACGCAAGTGTTGAGATGGGGAGTTCGAGCCTCGGCCATTCGGATCTGCTTCTTTCCTTTCGCAATCGTCCTGCTGGCAGATGGTTTTGCACGGGGCTTGGCTTCGCAAATGAGATGATATCAGATGTGAACGGTCACGAGATGGTGACGTCCTTCAGATTTCAGACCGTTTCCCGAGCGGTCTAATCTGAGTCGGATGCAGCAAGATGCCAGACGTGTACAAGGAGTGCCACTTGCGTGATGAATGTGACGTTGACGAGTATGACGAATTTCGACTCCGTTCCAGTCTTGGACTTTTCGTGCAGATTCTCTCTCTCTCTCTCTCTCTCTCTCTCTCGGGAGTAAAATGTGGTTGTGCTGTCCCAGAGTGTCACCGAGGGATTTCTGGCGAGAATTTCTGAAGGCGGAAATGATAGTCGATGAGACCATCTGGTTGGTCGAATGTGCCCGTGGTTTAGATACCATCGAGATTGATATTTCGTTGCTTCCTTGTCAGTGAAATTTCCACCCGAAGGTCCATGTGTGACTATGCGAAAGCGGGGTTTAGTCAAACTGCCTTGCTGTCATCTTAGGTGCAATTTTCGGCGAATGAGGAATACAAGAATGGAAGCTTCGTGAGCATCTCGCGAACAATGATATTACGCAGCCTACTGCATAATAGACAGTAATACGTAATACCCGTTTACCTTGCAAACCGCATCAATCAAATGGGCAGGCACGAAGCAAAAAATGCATGAGAAGGGAGAATACGTGATTGATGGGAAAACGTTTGTCAGTCCTTATGTATGCATTATTACTTCGTCACTCCAGGTAAGGCTGAAATGACACTGCATGAAAGATGCATGTAATGCTCTCTCCTTTTCGTCCCGTCCTGCAGGGGTAGTGGTGCGGGGGATCCGACTGCATAGCATGATTGTCCCGGTGCACAAGGAGATAGGGGAGTCCGCGGTCCTGCAGTGCGACTACGACCTCGCCGGCGACACCCTCTATTCCGTGAAATGGTATAAAGGGAAGGACGAGATCTTCCGATATGTGCCCTGGGGCGACCGCACCAAGCAGGCCTTCCCCATATCTGGGGTTCACGTTGATGTGAGTCATTCCGTCGTGTTCGTATTTTATCCCTTCCTGTCCGTCGCCTCGTTTCAAACGACACGTCGTGTCTGTGGTTTCGTGGGTTTATCTTTTCCTTTTTTTTTTTTTACAGGTCAATCGGTCGAATGCAAATCAGTTAGTATTGAATTCCCTGAATTTCGATTCGTCGGGGAAATATCGATGTGAGGTCTCGGGAGAGGCTCCTGCATTCGATACCGACAGTGCCTTTCGGGAGATGAGCGTCATCTGTGAGTCCTCTTCATCTTCCCCCGTTCTTTATCGAATAATTAATTAACTACGTTGATTACTTGCCGACACTCGAGCGCGATGCAAGATGTGCGGAAAGACGAACGATCCTTCGGGGGGGGGGGGGGCATGGAGATCCATCGCGAAGAAAGACGAGCGGCAGCCGTCAGGCCTCGATGCGAGGAAAAACATCAGAAATCATGGGAAAACGAATGAGAGAGCCTTTCTCTCTTGTCGGCAGGCTGGGTGCATTTGCTCCGTCATCGATGCTAACAGTGTACATCCCCGATGCAGCGCCGGATCCGTGAAAGCCGACCTTTGTTCATGCCAGGCATCTGCCGATGTAATCGTTCTCTCCGACGCGGAGCAAACTTAGTCATGTATGGATTATGTGCGATAGGAGGAGGTGGAATAAGTAAATGCCAAAGGTAATCCGGATCATAGGGCGCTAATTGGTTTAATTGAATTCCCGGATTAACAACGAAATGCACCCAGACTCGTGAAGGAAGCTTGAGAACATTCCCAGAACGCCAGAGTTATCTTTGGGGGAAGTCGGAACACAGACGGAAAGGAAAATATTATGATATGCAAGCGAAGCGTAAGAAGAAACTGTTTCCATCTCTAGACTCGCGACTGGATCTAGAAATAAGTCTCCCTCGCCCACGATCGTCGAGGGAGACTCAAGATTTCCGCAATTTTTTTTTTCCATACTCGTTCTGGGTAGACTTTAATTCGATAGAGACTGCTTTTTCTCGCCTCGATGCAGCTGTCAATAAGACGGAAACCAGATTGGTTTATATGGATGTGCCTGTCAGCTCCTCCCCCTTCTTTTTCCATCTATTGTATGGCCTCTTGTTCTTGTTCTCTTGCAATCTCTCGTCATCTCGCTTCCCCTTCCTCCCCTCCGACGTTTTGCAATTCTTCCTCCCCCTTCCCTCCCCGAAGAATTGGCACTTTCTTCGGAACGACCTCGGATCGTCCTCACGTATACCCATCTCATGAATGATTTCCTATCGTGGCCGTATCTATGAGTTCCTCGTTTGTGCCCGCCTTCTGTTCGTTTTTGTTTTCTACGTCATTGAAGAACCTTCTCAGTTTCGTGCGTCGTCGCATGGTGAGTACTTCTGTGTTACTTTCCATCCTTACGACTTATGTCCTCGTCCTGTTCATTTCATTTGTCCAATCACTTGTTTACCTACGTTATATTTTAGTTGATATATATTTTTCTACCGTAGTCGTAGTGCTGCACACTTTCTCGACCTCATTTATCTCTCATTTTTCACCATCGAATTCCATCTGCACCCATTCCGATTTCAAACTCATTTGTTCGACTTTCAGCGGTGCCGAAAAGTCCACCCAAGATCACCGGTGGTCTAAAGAGGTATCGCCCAGGTGATCGATTACACGTGAACTGCACATCAGACGCGTCCAAACCTGCCGCTTCACTCAACTGGTTCATCAACGACGAACCTGTGAGAGTCACGGCTTTCAATTTCGTTCCCAGCTCGAAAGCATGAAAGACGGTTTGCGGCTCGCATAGAAGTCGCCTAGCAGCATGCATTAAAAAAAAAATTTTTTTCCCTTCTTTCCCCTTTCTCCTCGCCTATATAATCATGAAATTAAGACGCGCACAGAAGTAAGTCACTTATCAGTAAGAAGCGGGACGGGAGAGAATCCCATTGTTTTCCTGCTCGACACGGCGAAATGGAAAAGAGAAAAGAAGAGGAAAGAGAGAGAAAAAAAGACAATTTCCTTATGATCTCTCAACATGACAATGCGAAGGCTCTCCGTTACGCTTTGAAACAGGATCTCCCCGTTCCTTTGTTCCTTTGAGATGTGACTGCATTCCTTTGCCTTTTCCTCCTCGTTCGTTTGCATGTCGTCTTCACACCTCTTTCAGCATGGCAATCGAATTTCAATCGGGGGTGATTCGATTTTTTTTCAAAGGTCCGAGATGAATATTTGATCGAATATCCCCCCCGGGTCCGACCCACGGACGGACTGGAAGTGTCAGTCCTCGGCCTCAACTTCACCGTGAGGAAGCATCACTTCACGGACAGGCAACTTCACATGAAATGCACGGCGGCCGTGGCCACCGTCTATTGGCAAAGCGGAGAGGACACTTATCTCGATGACACTCATGTCGCCAGGGTCATTGGGAACACTCCTCACAAAGGTATTTATTCCTCAATAGTCTGCCTCGATAGAGCACATTTGCAACGACAGCAGATCACACCAAGCTAACGACATTTTTTCAACCGTAAATTGTGTTTGCTAGTAATAAATGTGGAGTCTTCGTCGTGAGAAGGTAGGTTTGGATTATAAGGAGAAATTCCTTCAATAACAGAGGAAATGCATTTCCACTGCAAGCATTCCATCAGTGTTGCTTTTGTTTGAGCTCGGTATAAATGTGTGTGCTCTTATTCAGTTTTTCATGAGAGCAGGAATAATTTCCTTTTCAGGCGATGGCATGATCGGAAGGGCGTCGAGAACCCCCTCTTTTCTCGTTTGCATCATGTTTTTCCTGTCCTGGTTTCTCCGACACCTTTCCTAGTCATTTGACCCTTACTTTACATCTTGTCACCATGTGACTTTATTGCAAAACGATCAAACTTCTCTCATGTGTATTCGTCCGTGACTCTCCATTGCCCTTCAGTTGTGCGGTAGGCGAATAAAATCGAGTTTTCGTTTACGTGTGAGTTTCGATGAAACATGCCCAGCCTACGCTGCAGTCAACTCAACGTCACGCAGCGATCGAGCGGGCAAGCATATGATCAAGGGAACACGGCATTAGCCTCCTAAGAGGGTCTGAAAGCAAACATTCGCTCCAGGATGAACAAAAAAAAAAAATCCCCGAGGAGAGGGATGGAAGCAATCAGCATGGGTCAGGGAATGTGAGGGCAGAACCGGACCTCCTCCCAATAACAGGCCATAAAGATAGTCATAAAAGGACCCCGAGGCCAGTCCATCTCTTATCTCCGTCTCTCACTCCATGGAGCCCGTGGTAACGGGCTTCATTCCATCCACCGATACATTGTAATGTGTATATAGCCCCAGAGATGCCATTCCTCCGACTTTTTTTTTGGCCCCGTTTTCTCGACGGATGCCAAAGAATGAGAATTCATGATCCGTGCCCTCGCATCCACTATCAGGGATTATACAGTCCTGTGGAAGGGGCTCTGGATCAGCCGGGCGGGAAAAAAATACACCCCCTGCCGTTTTCTCATATAAGAAATGAACGTCTCGGAGGCATAGGCTATTGATGGGTCTTGGGAATGTGGCAGGTGGCTTCCCTCGGCCTCGCACGCACGTCTATGTTTTCCTCCTTACACTTCATTTGACCCCTTTGATTGGGCCCAAAAGCCGATCCCACCACGCAACCTGCGATCTTCGAATCCATATTCATCGCACTCGAAATCGATTCGAATGTCGGCGAGGCAAGAACAGCATCGTGTGGTGTCAAAATGTTTTTTCGATTCGGAATGGCTATCTCTTTCATCTGATGGCGAAGCGAAAGAGGGACTCGTGAATTCCTTCCGTGACCAGAAGACAGTCGTGACGGGGGAGGGAGCGGGAATTTCTCCAATCTGACTGCAATGGGGAGAGAAGAGCCATAAAAGACAGGGGTTGATGCCTTTATCAGGCACTTGCGTTGGCAAGAACGGACAAAAGGATGGGGGGGGGGGGAAGAAAAATAAATTGGAGGGAAAGGGTGACCTGCACTTCCCTACAGAGCAGAGGTTCTCGAGCAGGAAAAAGACCGATTTTATCGGCATCATGGACTTCTCTCTCGATCTCTCCCCCGAAGGCTGGGAATCTGATGGTCCACGCAACTTCGATCCAGGTGATAAGTGAGTAATGATTTCCCTCTGAAAGCCCAGAAACTCATGCCTTGACCATACACGCAAAACCTGGAGGGGTCCCAGAAATTGGGCGGAAAGAAAAGGCAAAGAAAATCTCCGTGAGCAATTTCCTGCCCTTGTCTCGCCGATAAGGATATTTTCTTCGCACATTCATGCACGGAACTAATTGAATCACTGATCCTAATCTTGCGTCAAGATCGCTATCAATCGAGACTGGGATTTATGGATCCTCATTGTCCGGAATATGAGCCGATATCAGGAACAATGGAAAGAGAGAGGGGGTGCAATTATAGTCTCAGTCGCCTGCGTTCAGCAATGAGCATCATTTACGAATGCGCTTCTTCAATGGACACTTTGCACGCCAACCAGTCGTAAGTCTTCGAATGAATTCACGCATGAAAAGATCGGCTTCTGCATTTCTCGCCTTCGTTTCCTGGAACGTGTTCCTTTCGGGCCTCGAAACACGGGTGCTTTCCCTCGCAGTGGAACTTTGGCTCGGAAAGAGCGAAGAGTGACGGGCATGATCTAAAGGAGGAAGTGAGAGGGAACAATCTCGAAGTCATTAATCATTGACGAAGCGAAAGGTGAGACAAGGGATCATTAAAAATCTCCTCTTCTCCATGCATCGATTAGCTCCTTCCATTCATCTCCGGGGAATAAGACAAAAGCCGGAGCCTTCACTCATAGTACGCCTCTTCCTTCTTCGAGCGCACTTCTGTCACATGCACTCACCCTCGCATTTGCATGGCTGCATTCGATTCGGCAAACACGGGATATTCTTTTCTCCCAAGGTCGTGGGGCGTCTATTGGACAAACTTGAGATTGATTCCGGAGGCAGATATCAGGGGAGGAAACCATTGTGATCCGGCCTCGCCTGATAGCATGCTCTTCGAGTCAAATGAGGCAGCGCGTGCCTAGAGAAAGAGGGAAAAAAAGAAGACGAGAAAAAAAGCGACAAAGGAGTCCCCTCCATTGTCCGCCTTGCACTGGTAATACGATTAGAGCCGCAGGGAATGGCATTCGGGGAGATGTTTTGCTTTGCACATCCATTTCATCCTCGTCTGCTCGTCCTTATCCTATCACTGTCTCCGATCGTGTTTCCTAATTCCATCCCGGTCTTCCTTCTCCCCAGATGGTCTTTGTCTGGAGCTGGACAAAATCTCACATAGGGGGAACGCAGTTCTGATCGAGTTTATTTTATTTTTTTTTTTAAGGAATGCTGACTTGCAAAAAAAGGCGTACACGTGTCCGAGCATCCCATTTCCATTCCCTCTCGGTTCCATCGAGGAAATGAATGGATCCAATTAGTCAAGGAACCTTCTCGGTGCTCGTAAAATTACTCTCGAATCCTCCATCGAACCTCCTGATAGACCCTATAGACCACTTCTCCATCCTTCAAGCTTACTTTCCTTCTGTGGTCTCGTCTCTTCAGACGGTTCATAACTTCTCTATTTCTCGTGGGCGAGGCATCGGCCTGCCGATCTGGAAAACCGATTAAAGACACTTTAATGAGATGAAAGCCGATCCAGAGCGGAAGGAAGCATAGGACAGCTGCAAGGATAGGCCTATTGGGACCCGCGACAAGTGAGGAGGGGGGAGGGGATGCAACGCGTCCCATTCAGCAACTCAAATGTAGCAGAAATAATGGGTCTTTGTGCCTGGCTCCCCCCCTCCCCTTTACTCTATATGATTATCCCCATTTCTTGGGTTGTGTCCAACCACGTCAGGGGTTGAGTAGCCCGTAGCGTAGGAAATGGAAAATGCCAGACCGATAAGGGCTTGCATGCATACCACAATGCGTCTGAATGGAACCCATTAACGCTATATAGGAATCCTGAGATACCCGCGGTCGACGGAATCCAGAGAAATCGAATCTCCGAGAATTCGATTTCCCTGAGGCTCGCTTGAAGGACCGAAGACGAAATCAGATGGGACTCGCGAGACCCTCAAATCCAATTAGAAGACAGAGGTGTTCATTTAGATTTACCTAATCTTACCTCGACCTAGGACGCACTCGAGAAACAAAGAAACCGAGTGGGACGAGGAGGGAGAAAAAAAAAATCTCGGAAATGGAGACGGAAATTCCCTCGTCGAGATCGAAACTACAGACCATCTGTTCCTGCTCGTCTTGCTTTTAATAATTTACAGCCTCTTGCACTACCGAAGGTGAGACGGATTCCTACGTATTGCGTTCTGTAGCATCGATACGTAGTATGCGATATGCGTCGAAAGATACCCCGTATTATTATGAGGGGAAAAGCCCATGAATTGGAAATGTCGTAACGCGCCGACCGTATCGATTCCATTGCCCGCTTAATTTTCTCGCATCATCCGCGTTATGTATACATACCCTATAAAAATGATGACGGCAATCGTTCAACGTCTGTCGATGCGCCATCTCCTGATTGCCCCCTACACGTCGGTCAACAACATTTATCGGGTGTGATGACTCGATCCCCCTGTTGGTTCGGCCTGCCGACCCACCGCATGGGCGCAAAGGCGAAAACCGAGGGGGTCGGGAAGGACGAAGGTCGCGTCCCGATCCTTCGATTCCGTGCCAGGTGTTTTTTCCTTCCTTATCGTGGGGGCCCCTCACTCCCTCATTTCCCCTCCCGGAACGCACGTGACGGAAATGAAGTCTACTCGCCCGATGCGCCATCGTTCGCACCGTGACATTGACCCGGAAAGACTCGGACCTTAACCCTCACGCCCCTCGCGGCCGGACCTCGCACGAAGACCTGCCAAGCGCAGTCGACGAAGGCGAAGCGATGCACGAAATGCGACTCCGAGAGGCTAACGATCCCGATCCTCAAACGCACATCGCAGAAAGAAAGTCCCCTTTCTTCCTCCGTCCTGTATGGAGGCCCCAGTGTAAGAAAAGACGTAGTTATCACATCGAAGCGGACTGGTCATTTTCTTCCCCTAATGACCCCTGATTACGGTAGACAACATATGTCCCTTTCGCCGTGCATGCCCACGTCGATGATTTCCCACTAACGCATATTTCATGACCATCACGACCCATTCCTCCCCCCCCCCCTCCACCTCCTTCCTCGACCTCCTCCCGGAAGCCCGGATGGAATCCCAAGAAATGGATTTCTGCCTCTTTTCATGTCTGCGTCTGTCTTTCCTCGGCCGGCACGGCCGCCATCCGTCATTCAGATAACATTGTCCGGCTAATGGTCAATAGCATACGGATCTGACTTATCAATGATGTATGGGTTTGGCTCCGGGTTCTTTAATGATTAAAAGGAGACGCGGTGGTGTCATCCGGCCCATCTTGTCTCATCTCCGGAGGAAAGAAGCGATGATGGTTAATTCATCCCCGAAGAATTTGTTATGGCCTCTGACGGAAGGAAACCGAGTAGAAATTGGGATTCTAAGACTTGAATAGGATAAAAAAAATTTTCGAACAATTTTTCATTGAAGATCGTTTTCAAATTTTCCTTTCAAATCGCGATCGAATGAAAAATAATAGGCTGAAGTTTTATTTGCTCTCCAATCTTTTCGTCTGATTCCCAAGCAAATCCTCATCAGGTTTGTTGATTCTATTTGAAAATGCTCGGTCTTGTGCTACTAGCGGATTAATTTTGCCATTAACGTAGTTGTACTTTCACCAAATGAAATCTAATTAACCCTTCAGATGCCCAAATGGCTGTTCTTTAATTGGTGCGTAAAATGTAGAGATGTGATTTAAAAACTGGATCCAAATCTCCGGAAGAACTCCGAAACCGCATCTTCGAATTGCATTCTCTTAGGCTTGGCATAAATGAAATCGCAAAGCTACGTTTTGCGATACGCATACTGCCATGAATCCTGACTCAAATCCAACGAAAATCCGGATTCGTGCATGAAAAGAAAGTAGAAGGGGAAAGTGTCCTTTCGGGGTTCGGGGAAGCAGAATCCTCGAATCCGAACGAAGACTGATCTTCAATTAGTTTTCGGGATGATTCTGGAGAGAGTGGGGTAGGGGGGCGGGAGGGGGGGCAGGGGGGGGGGCAGGGGGGGGGCAAGGGGAAGGAGGGGTAGGAAGGAGATGGAGGAGTGTTGTTACGGCTCGTTGCTTCCGAATGACTCAGACCCACGGTCACAAACACGAGAGGACTCTCTGCTTCCGGATTCAATTAAGCTGTCGAGATATTAACGACTTTCTTCTCCATATCCTCATAATTCATTGGCTCAGTCCGTTGCTCAATTGGCCGTGATTCTGTTTTCTCCTACAGACTCATTCATCAGTGTCCAGGCAAGGTCCGCCCTTCATATTTTTATCAATTCCCCGAGTCGTTTACGGTCGAGACTTCGAGGGACGAAGATGCGAAAATTTTGCGAAAGATGCGAAAAATTCCGGGAGTTTACTGTCTGCCTGCGATTTCACTCGGGCCGAAATCCATGGGGTGAAATAATCCCCGCATCCCGAAGCGTCGCCTTTGTCGCCGAAATCTCATCGATGGAAGAAGTCATCTCCAGGGTCATTACTGCATTGTATGAGGGAAGGCGATGAAATCCGAACAGCTGGTGCAATCGGATCTCCGGAGCGAAGGAATGGGTCCACGATTGAGGATGGAAGGCAGTGGGAAGTCTGGGGAGGTCCGTGGGGGAGGGGGGAAGGGGGAGGGGGAGGGGGGGGGGAGGGGAGGGGGGAAGAAACCTCAGTAGAGAGTCGGAAAGGGGAAAAGAGTCCAGGGAACAGAGTCATCTGCACTCATTCCCATCCCAAGTGTGTATTTGCCTTCTTGCAATCACGACACGTCCATCTCCTTCCCATTTCCTTGTATTCATGGAGAACTGTCTCCATTTCCCAGCTCCGAGTGCTTGGGGAAATATTTAAGAGTCTGCACGTCGATTGCCCGGGTTTTGAACAATCCAAACGATCGTCTGGACCCCCGAATCTGTCACGAATAGAGAAAATCTTTATCGATCGGTCGTGCCGATTGAATAAATGATCCGACCGGCGGGGCCAGCCGAATCCGACGCGGATCGTTCTCGTCGTCT